CGGTGGTTACTTCAGCTCTCCAAGATGGTGGCCGCTGGTTTCCTGATTTTGTTCTTTTTGATGGGATAATATTGCATTGTATATGTACACCACATTTTCTTTATCTGTTGAGGGGCACTTAGACTGATTCCATAAGTTTTCTGTTCTGAATTATGTCACAATAAACATGGGTATGCAGGTATCTCTATAGCATGAGAACTTTTATTCCTTCAAGTGTATGATGAGAATTGGTATAAGTGAGCCATATGGTAGTTCTGTTTTTAATTGAGGAAATTCCACACTGATTTCCATAGTAGCTGTAATAATTTGTACTAATTTACATGCCTACCAACAGTGTGTAAGTGTTCCTTTCCTCTCTCCCCAACTTTCCAGAATGTATTGTTTTGTTTTTGTTTGTTTGTTTGTTTTTTGCAGTGATAAGGACTGAACCCAGGGCCTCACACACACACACACATGGAAAACATTACCTTTGAGTTATATCCCCAGCCCTATTTTTTGTATTTTGATGATAACCATCCTGACTGGGATGAGATGGAATCTCAATGTAAGTTTTAATTTTGCACTTCCTTGATTTCTAAAGATGTTGAACAATTTTTTTTGTATAATTATTGGCCCTTTGTATTTCTCTTTTGAGAAGTGTCTTTTTAGTTCTGATAAACCCAACCTGATTTTCTCTTAAAATTGGGAGCCATCTTGCCACAAAGTCATGAAAAGATAATTTCAGTTTTACTATAAATTATTGCAAATTCTGAACTAGCTTGGAATGCCTGCCCGTCCCTTGAACTCGCCCATGCCTGGCTCTCCCTGACCAGATAGCAGCCGTCTCTGAAACTTTAGTGAGGCCTCATAAATCTTGGCCTTCCCTGGCCAGATACCAACCCTCTCTGAGGCTCTGATGACCTTCATAAATTCTGATGTTGGGGCCAGCAAAAATGTAAACCTTTGTGTTATGCTCATCAGAGTTTTGTTATCTGTAACCCCCCTTTGTGTAACTTTCTGGGCTATAAAGCTGGGCTGCAAGAAAACTGTGGTGCTGTCTTGTTCCTGTGGTTTTGGGTGGGAGAGGCAGCCCAGCTGGTTGAAATAATAAGCTTGCTTTAATTTGATTTTAATTGGAGTCAGTGGTCTTTTCTTGTGTCCTGGTCTAACAGTTCATTTGCCCATTTATTGATTTTTTTTTCGGTGTTAAAATTTGAGTTCTTCATATATTTTAATATTAACATTAATCCTCTGTCAGAAAAGAAACTCTCACTCTGTATGCTGTCTCTTCGTTCTTCTGTTTCCTTTGCTGTGCAGAAGTTTCTAAATTGATGCAATCCCATTTGTCAATTCTTGCTATTATTTCCTGAACTATCAGAGTCCTATTCAGGAAGTTGTTATTTGTATCTATCTCCCCAAGGGATTCCTCTATGTTTTATCAGTTTCAGAGTTTTGGGTCTTGTACTCAGGTTTTTGCTCCACTTTGAGTTAATTTTTGTATAGGGTAAGAGAAGAATCTAGTTTCAGTCTACATATGGATATCCAATTTTCCTAGCACCTTTTGTTAAAGAGGCTTTCTTCTCTCCAGTGTATATTTTTGGCATCTTTGTCAAGAATCAGATGACTGTAGCTGTATGGATTTATTCTGTGTCTTCTATTCTATTCCATTGGTCTATGTGTCTGTCTATGCTTACTGTATTTGTTACTATTTCTATTTTGTTACTATGTTTTGTTTTGTGTCTGTCTATGCCTACTGTTTTGTTACTATTGTTTTGTACCCTACTTTTGTATTACTATGGCTCTGTAGTATATGTTGAAACAGGGTATGGTGATGCCTCTAGCATTGCTCTTTTTGCTCAGGATTGCTTTGCTATTCTGGGTCTTTTGTGCTCTCATATAATTTTATGATTTTTTCTAGTTCTGTGAAGAATGCCATTGGTATTTTGAAGGGCATTGTATAAAATCTATAGATTCCTTTTTGGTCATATGGCTTTATGTATTTATTTTAGTGCTAAGTCGTTGAACCCAGACCCTACCACATGCTAGGTAAGCACTTTACCACTAAGCTACATCCCCAGCTCTATTTTTAATTTATTTTGAAACAGAGTCTCACTAAATTGCTCAGACTGGTCTTGGATTTATCATCCTTCTGCTTCAGCTTCCTGAATAACTGGGATTACAGGCATGTGGTACCACACCCAGCAGTAATACGGCCATTTTAACAATATGAATTCTGCTGATCCATGAACCTGGGAGGTGTTTCCATCTTCAAGTGACTTCTTGAACTTCTTTCTTCAATATTCTGTAATTCTCATTATAGGGGTCTTTCACTTCCTTGGTTAGGTTCATTCTTATTTTATTTTTTAAGCTATTGTGAATAAAATTATTTTCCCAAGTTTTTTCTTAGTGGGTTCATTACTGGTGTAAGTACATGCCATTTGACTTTTTTTTTTCCTCGCTCAATATAGTGCCCTTGATATCCTTCCAAGTTGCTGCATTTATCAATGATTCAATCTTTTTATTTCTGAGTAGTATTCTGTGGTATACACATACTAAAGTTGGCTTGATCCTTCTCCCACTGGAGGACATTTGGGTTGTTCTCAGTTGTTGCCTAATATGCCTAAAACTGCTATTTTATTTATATACAGGTTTTCTGCACACATACATTTTCATTGTTCTGGATTAAACACCCAAGAGTGCGATTTCTAGATTGTACGATTTCTAGACTGTATGATAAATGCAAATTTAGTGTTCTAAGAATCCACCAAACTGTTTCCAGAGTAACTCCAACATTTTACATTCCTATCAGAAATGTTCCCAAGATCCAGTTCCCCTGCATTCCAGACAGAGTTTATAATTATCACTGGTTTTTAAATGTTAGCCTTTCTGACAGATGTGTAGGGGTCTCTCTTACCAGTCCAGAGCTCCGAAGTTCTCTCTGCATCTCTGTCCCCTTTGGAACCCTGTGAGTTCAGGTTGACCTGGCCCTCTTGGACACCCAATTCTGTCTCCTCAACTCAGGGAGACTGACAGTCTCCACCTAGGTTCTCCCTCTCAGCTGCAGCCTGAAAACTCTCTACAGGGAGTAAGCTAGGGGAATTGTGGGGATCATCTCAGTTGTTTCCCATCTCTCAGTGATCCCAGTACAATGAGAAATAGCACATTCAGAATCTAACTCTTAAATGGATTGATTATCAGTTTTCTAATCAGGATGTCTGCTCTATCTCCCTACCTACCTCCCTTCCTTCCTTCCTTCCTTCCATATATTTTTACCTAACTAGAAGCCAAGAATTTTGTCATCAGAACTGCCATTACTCATCTGAGACATCAACCTCTTTAAGCTAGTTTATTTGTAAAACAGAGAGTCTATATGAGTCTTACTTCCTTCTCTGATAGTCTAGGATATTAACAGACTCTTGTAGGAGACGCAGTGAGAAGTATTGGTAGCAATCTTTAGTGTGGTGTTGGTTCTTAGTCTGTAGCTATTGTTCTTTAGTCCTTAGCTATTTCTAAACAGGAAAATGGTATTGATTGTGTGGGAAATTATCATATGTTGGTAATTGCTGTGAAATAGCAAGAACAACAACAATAGCTAACACATTTAGCCTGCAGCATCTTATGTAATATTTACAATAGCCCTATGACGTAAGTGCCACTACTATCCAAATTTAGAAGATGAGAAAGATGTTGCCTAGGAAAAAAAAAAAAAACAAGAATAATTCCTTTCTTCATATTCAATTAAAGGTTGGTTTCCAATGATCTCTAGAAGTAACCAGAACACTCCAGTAATAAAGAAGGAAGTGAAGCCCAGATTGCTGCTGGGCTCAGCAGAGGATTCTCCATTTCCCCTTCTGTTGCAAAGAGAACTCTCCAGAGTGAATGAGCAGAATGAACACAAAAGAGGAACAGCACAAGCAAACTGTGATGGTGAAATGCCATGAATTCCTCACTCAAGCAGCTAGTCAAGATTGCTGGGCTATGGTTGTGGCTCAGTGGTAGAGTGCTTGCCTAGCACATATGAGTCACCAAATTAGATCCTCAGCACCACATAACAATAAATAAAATAAAGGCATTATGTCCAGCTACAATTAAAAAATATTTTTAAAATAAAGATTGCTTAATTCTAAATTATAAGCATTGGCACTGCAGAAAGTCAGCTGAATAGATCATGTGGATTACACGAGTGTTTTTCAAACTACCATTTGAAAGCTCCTGTCTGAGTGACTACAGAAAACATCCTCCCAAGAGGGCTTATTTATGCCTAGAGAGGTTTTTTTTTTTTTTTTTTTTACAGTGCTTTAATAATCTCCAGCATGCATTTAACAATATTATATCATGTTGTCAACATTTGCTAAAGAAGAGAATCTTAGCAACCACAGCATAACCTTCCTGGTTTTATTCACCCAGCCTGTAGGGATTGATAATGATAGTGGTGCTTTGGATTATCTCTTATCTAGGGCTAAATAATTAGCTTTGTAAAATCTAGGTGTTGTTATGGGCATGTGGCTATTGGTTGGAGGATGGAAAGAGGAGTGGAGTGGAGGGCTGGGTAAAGGCATAGGCAAAGAAAAGTATGTGAACGTTTACAATTGACTCAAATAGTCTAGATCTTCAAATCAAGTCATGATACCATGTAAAATGTGAAAAATAAAATAACTATGTTGGACAGTTAACCCAAACAAAGGACAAAGATCTTGACATTTCAGAAATGATAGGGAAGGGTTTAAGGAAATACAGTGGGGGGAGAAAATAATTTAAAGACAACTAGTTTCGAAATTCATGCACAAGACCAGATTGCTTATAAACCACAGATGAATGGGTATATCTCAGGAGTGGAATGATGGATTGATAAAGTAAAACTGTCTGTAATTTTTCAGGTTGGAGATATTTCCTGTCCTGGAAGTCTGGAACTGAATTATTGTCCAAATAGCCTTACTTCAAAGTATTTGTGGGAGTAGAAAGCCAAATTGCTTGAGTGTAATTGTTCAGTGTTGATTGGGGGAGAGGAAAGAGGAGTGGCTTAGGAAGTCATTCTGTGTTTAAGATCATAGGAACCATAGGGTCAGTCATTTTTATGCAGACTAGCATCCGCTGGTTACCAAGAAGAAAACCCTGGAAGGGAAGAATTTGGGGAACTGGAAGATACAAGAACCTCTGAAGCTACTTACGAGTGTAGGTAAGTCATGGTATTGGGTACTCTTCTCAGGGAACAACCTGAGAAGTTCTATTTTTTTTTAATTAAAAAATTTTTGAAAACATTTTTATCTCTATAGAAAAGTTGCAATAATAAAACAAGGGACTTCTCACTGCTCTTTATTCAGAAAAATTATTTAAAATTATTTTTCTCAAGTTTATTTTATCATTTTCTTTTTTCCCTATAAGCATGCACTTAACACATGCACACGTTAATATTTCAGTATGTATTTACTAACAGCATGGATATTCTCTTAAATAATCTGAATTTACTTTTAAAGTTTATTGTATAAGACACTGACATAATAACATCATCAGCTTCTCCGAAGACTATATTCTAATTTTATCAACTGTCTCAATAATGTTCTTCATAGCATTTTATTTTATTTTTTCTTGTAGAGAAGGTCTCTCTTTGATAGAATGTGATACTGACCTAGCAAGACAAAGACATACTTCGTTGCCTCAGCTCTCATTAAGATCTTCATTAGTTAAGAAAGCCCCAGCAGATCAATTGTTCTTTGTTTTCATTCTTATTCCATTTCTTCCCTGAAAGTACAAATCAGCAGGAATACCTAGGTAGTAGGCGATCTTTCACAGAAGAAGGAATCTGGTATGACAAGATGTAACTTTAGTAAGAATGAAGATTGAGACTGGACATCTTAACCCTTAGTCTCAGTTGAATAGACTACAGTACTTTTTCTATTCATTTTAATCTTTTTTTTTTTTTTTGATACCTGGGGTAGAACTTGAGCGCTTCACCCCTGAGCCATACCCTCAACTCTTTTTATTTCTTTTTTATTTTGAGACAAGGTCTTGCTAAGATGCTTAGGGCCTCACTCAGTTACTGAGGCTGGTTTCAAACTTGCGATTCTCTTGCCTCAGCTTCCCAAGTCACTGGGATTAATGGCGTGTGCCATTAATCTTTTGGGGGAGGAAATAAATAGTAATGGGCAAAATTCAAGTTAATTACTTTATTAAGAATTTAGTTATTTAAAAATCATTGGTGCCAGCTTTCCTCACTGACTCCTCATCTGTAAGCCAATTTCAGAACAGCTTTTCCTGGTTGTCTTCCCAATCTTTGGGATCCATACCTTATTACACACTAACAGGGAGTATGGTGGGGGATGGACTGAGAAATGGAAAGAGAAAGACAAAGGATCACTGCTTTGGGAGATGGAGTCATGTGGAGAAGAAAGGGGAGACCCCAAAGCCTATGCTGTAGGATTTAGAGGGGCCACAGTCTCCACTGGTGCCAGTTTTCATCTCAACATCATGTCCTTCCATTTCCCTCCACCTGTCCAGGCAAAATGAAGCTGACTCTGGTACAAATCTTTTTCATGCTGCTGCTGCTGCTGCTGGGCCTGGGGCTGGGCCTGGGGCTGGGGCTTCACATGGCTGCAGCAGTCCTGGAGGATATTGATCAGCCACTGAACCAGTTTTGGTCCAGTGACTCACAGGACAAAGTCGAGACCACTGAGGAGGGAAAAGGCACACAAGCCACAGAAAGCCTGGTGCTTAGCAACAAAGGAACAGAGCAACCTGACTCGCCAGAAGAGACCTTCTCCAGTGAAGATGAGGTGGGAGGAAACAAGGTGCTCAGAGACAAGACTTTCTTGCGGAGCAACCAAGAAGATTTTAGGCTTAGTTTGGAGGCCAGGGAATGCAATAGCATGATGGCAAACAAGGTGAAGGAGCACAATCGCAGCTGCATATTTGAGTACACATTCATCCACGAGGAAATCAACACAGTCAGAGCTGTCTGTAGCAGTCCTGTTGTTGCCTGTGACCTCAAGGGGATAAAATGTCACAGAAGCCCCCGTCCTTTCGATTTGACATTCTGCAAGTTGTCCAAGTCCGGCCAGCTCACTCCTAACTGTAATTATCTGACTTTCATTCTGGAAAGGGTCATTGTCATCACCTGTAATGGCATGAACCTCCATTTAACATCTATACAGTGAAGCAACTCATCCTCTTCTTTCTCTTCTACCTTTTTCTTTTCCTTTTCCACTTCCACTTCTCAAGTTGCACTCCTCCTCTTAGGTAATCTTGCAGAGAATTTTCTAGGAAGAGAGGATGAACTATTCTTTATCAACATCTTCTAAAAATGTTATTCTTCTTTGCCTTAGGGACCGTCCAACATGCATCTTGTCCCTGGACTTAGAGGTGCTTAAGAGAGTAATGATGCTCAGTTTCTCTGGGTTCTCTATTTTTCCTCTCCAATCTTTGCTGTGGAAGGGGATAAATAAAGGACTGCTCCTGCCCCTCCAGTGGCCCTGGTCATTAGTCTGTTCCCTGGTCTGAGTTTGCCTTTGAGTGTGGACTGGCAGAGTTTTATTTAATGCCTCTATTTCCTATGTTCCTCCCTGCGACCCACCTCAAACCTCTACAGCAATCACTTGAGACTTCTGAGGTTTGCACACCTATCCTTTTTTGCACTGTGAATGCAATTAAAGTGATTGTGTTTGTGACTGTGTCTAGAAAACCACGTGGACCATGTTTCTTTTCCTGAGCCTGGAAACACAGAGCCTAGGCTTACGGGTAGCCAGGTGGTATAGTGGTGTACATCAAGACAGAACATGTGCAGGGGCATGAACTGTTCTCTTTCTCCTGACCCTTCCTTACCCTTTTCTTTTTCTTCCCATCTTCACTTTGCTTTGTTTCTTTGTTTTTCTTCCTTTCTTTCCTCTTTGTTTCTTTTTCACCTTCTCTCTCTCTCTCTCTCTCTCTCTCTCTCTCTCTCTCCTTTTCTTTTTCTTTTGGGGCCTTTTTTTCACTTTCTCTGGATCTTTTCAGAGATTCCATCAGCCCAGACTGGACACTTCTGCTTTACCAGATAAGCAGAGGAAGATCCTATAGAGTCAGGCAGAAGGGCTGGAGGGAAGGTAGGTCAGGAGGGTGAAAACGAGAGAAGCAGAGAGGAAAAGAGAGCACCATCTTTCCAAGTTAAGAATAAAAAGTAGAAGAGTGTTCATAGTGGATGCTCATTATATGTGGGATGAATGAGGTGGGAGGAGTCTTATTCTCATTCAGCATCCTTGTCCATTTCTTTTCTTTCTTTAAAAATATTTATCTTTTAGTTATAGGTGGACATAATTTATTTTACTCTATGTGGTGCTGAGGATTGAACCCAGTGCCTCACTCATGCTAAGGGAGCGCTCTATCTCTGGAGCCACAACCCCAGCCCACCCTTGCCCATTTCTTGTGCTAAAGAACAAGGAAAGTTGGTGAAAGAATAATTTCAGCAGATGTTTGAATTTATTTATTTAAGAAGGGGAAAAACAAAATAAATAAATAAAATAAAAAGAAATAAAAACTGGGCTGGGGATGTGGCTCAACCGGTAGCGTGCTCGCCTGGCATGTGTGCAGCCCGGGTTCGATCCTCAGCACCACATACAAACAAAGATGTTGTGTCCGATGAAAACTAAAAAATAAATATTAAAATTTTTCTCTCTTTCTCTCTTAAAAAAAAAGAAATAAAAACAAAAACAAAGAACAACAACCACCAAAAACAAAACAGGGAAGGGCAGGGATGCTACGGGGTAGAATAAACAGAGGATGCAAGTGGCTACCTTCAGCTTATTTCCTCTAAATTCATTTTTTTTTAAGTGTAGTTAGAATGCGTGGGGACAGGGAAAGTTTGAGGAAATGGCTAGAAGGACTCACTGTGTGATTTGGTTTTGAGATCTCCTCCTGTTGGGGTTTTCCTCAGCTTCATCTTCATATCTGGTAATAGACCTAAGAGTCAGGAATACACATACACGGGAGATGGGAAAGAAGAAAAAGTTCCATCACTCTGACCTGTCCCCCCAACTCCCACAGTCTCTGTTTTCCTATTTCCTTAATTCTTCCAGTTCTTGCAGGCAGACAGCCATTTGGATGTGGTAAGACTCTCCCATTCCTCAGACTCATCTTTCCTAGTAATGGCCTCTTGTAAACAGTGCTGGGCAGGAAGTGTGTCTGTGTTTGTGGACTGCCCTGACATTTGAGGAGTGGATGGAGGAGAGGCAGGTGGTGAGGACGCAGCCAATGTAAACTCCTCTTCTTCCTGATGGTGGAGAGAAAGAAGGTTATGTAAGACAAGGGAAAAAATGAGAAATGGAGTAAGAAGAGAAGAAAAAAAAGAGTACAGTCGGAGTTAGAAATTTGGTAAGTAAACCCAGGGCTATAGTACTGGGAATGAATGTGAAAGGGTTCCATACGGGTGACTTCACCCTAACCAGAAGCCAAAGAGGCCACTGTACAGAGTGAACTAGTAAGAGACAGGGATTAAAGCCTGTCTTCTCTCACTGTCTCTCCTGTCTTTAATCCGAGATTAAAGCCTGTCTTCTCTCACTGTCTCTCCTGTCTTTAATCCGAGATTAAAGCCTGTCTTCTCTCACTTGCAAATACAGCTACATTCTTTTATGGGTCCCCAACTTTCTCAGGGCTCTCACACCGCTCAGTGAGGACTCCTATCTCCCCATTTTGGTCTCCACTTTGTAGGAATCGCAGCCATCAGCCTTTTTCTGACTGTGGAGATAAACTCAAGAAACCAATTTACAAAATACCCTCCTGGCTCCTAGTGGCTTGAGCAGGAAAATACAGCTTCTGTGGCCGAGGTAACACAGTGACAAGGCTTTGTGGATGGACATCTCACCTCCTCTTTACATTTCCAGTGTACATGCTTGTGACAAGTCCCTGGACCTTTATCCACAGTTCCTGAATTCCTAAAACTCTAAAAATCAAGTTTTTTTTTCCAAAGTGACTTTAAAACTCCTTTAGATGTAGCACCTGACTAAATTGACAAAGCGAGGCTACTTATTATCTTTATTTATGTGATGCAACCATGACACATTTCTTTATGGAAATATCAATGTGTTTGATCACGAGTGCTGCCTAAGATATACTCTTCTATGGGTGTTTCAGTAGTATGTTATGTATGTATGTGCACAAACACAATATTGTTTTTAAAAATTCAAAAAATTCTAAGTTCCCATATGCATTGGTCCCAAGTTTCAGCTAAGGGATTGTGAACCTATATTTACAATTTAATGAGCTCTTAATTAATTTGAGTATATCATATATGATCCTAGTTATGGCACAAGCATCTTTGTGGAAGCAGTTATGTTATAAAATTCTTTTATATTCTTCATCAGCACATTTATTGATCAATACTTTTCTACTTATTGATTCTCCAGTACTTTCTCAGAAGTTATAATAATTGCAAGGAAGCACAGAATCACTTAATCGGATTAAGAAGTTCTATAACTCCAATCAAGTACCACAAAAATGAAGAGAGCTGAGCAGCCTAACCCATGATTCAAAGGGCTTCATATGAATTCTTTTCTTTCCAAGATAAGCAGGAAGGAATCTATTATTGTATTTCAGGCACTCTTTTTAGATGCTGTCATATATTTGGTTTTATTTTATTCCTATAAGGAGGTAGATTATGTTTGCTCCATTTTAAAGATAAGTGATAGTTCAGAAAGAGTAACATTTTCTGTTGCTATAACAAAATACCTGAAGCTAGTTACATATAAAGAAAAGAGGTTTATTTAACTTCCAGTTTTGGAAGTTGATCAGTGACTCTATCAGTTTGGTCTATGATTAGGGTCCCCTTAGTTGGGTCACATATGGTAGAGAGCATCATGGAGGAAGTATATGCAAGAGGGAGAGATCACGGGTAAGACAGGAAGCTAGATACTTGGGAGGGGCAAGTCTTGCTCTTTTTATATCAACCCACTCTTGCAAGAACTAACCCCTCCACCATACCAGAATTGATCCCTACCAAGAGCAGGGCTCCCAATGACTTAACCACCTTTTACCAGGCCCCACTCCTTAAGTGTTCTACCACTCAACACAGCCACACCGAGGACCAAGCCTCTAACACATGAACATTTTACTGACAAACCACATCCAAATCATAGCCCCCAGTTACCTTGATGCGAATCTCCCAACTCATATATGGCTGATCCGTATTTCAGATGGAGGCTTCCTGTGCTTCTATTCAGGTGCTGCTTCCCAATTTGAAACATCGTTCTGTTTTCTCACAGTGATTCAAAAGGATGAGATTCAACTCTAAGTAGTTTAGGGCCTAGATTATGTTTGTACATCAGTTAAAAGCATTTATTGTGCTAAGAACATACGTACTTGATATTATAGGTAAATGGGTGGGGGAGAGAGAGAGAGAGAGAGAGAGAGAGAAAGAGATAGATAGATATGGGGGAGAGAGAAGCAGAAGAAAACCTCCGGGCTTTGGTTCCTCATGAATACCGGTCCTGACAGTCTGGATGATGATGGAGACACTTCTCAATGTTATTCAAAGTTTTAAAAATCACTGCCAATCTAAACCATAATATATATTTAAGATTTGAACTTTTACTAGGATAAAAAATATGAAATATAAAGCTTTTTCAGAATCAATATCTTGCTGTTAGTTTTTTTTTTTTTTTTAATGTGGTCTCTCTATGTTGCCCAAACTAGTCTTAACTCCTGTGTTTAAGGGATCCTCCCACCTGACTTCTCTCTCTTGTTCTCCTTAAAATTATTTCTCTATCACTCTATCACAGAGCCACAATCCCAGCCCCTATAGACTGTTTCTTTTCTTTTTTTTTTCAGTGCTAGGGATTGAACCCATGGCCTTGTGCATAGGAGGCAAGCACTCTACCAACTGAGCTATATCCCCAGCCTACCTATAGACTGTTTCTTATGTGATGTAGCACTGAATGCATTAAAAGTGGCTGGGAGGGAAGAATCAGGGCCAAAAGATAAATCCCCTACTATTTGCACACTCAAATACTGTGTTCAGAACACTCTAAATATTTTTTCTCAATGTTGAAGGTTATTTGAATTACCTCGGGAAGCTTTAAAAATATGAAAAATGCAATTCCAAAAGCCCTCTTCCAGCAATATTCATATAATTAGTCTGAATTGGAGACTGGGCATCAGGCAAGGTCTAGTCATGGTGGGGCTACATTACTATATCTTCTAAGGTAGTTTTTCTGTGAATCAGTGTTTCAAAGACTGTTAACAGAGATGTTGAAGTGATTTGGGAGATCCTGAATTAAATATAGATAAATGGATCTCTTTTCTCAAGATCTTGTAATCTTTAATATTAATATGTGTTGTGAATCACTAATAATAGAGATCATATTTAACATTTCTGTAATTATTCCCATGAAGTAATCTACCATTCCCATCATTAGTAACATTTTTCTAGAACTAATGTTTCCAGTTGGAAAACATTGTTCTAAACTTTCTTTTCTTTCCCTAGACTTTTCTAAATCTTTCATCTTTATCTAATATAGTTATGATGAGGCCTATCCTAAAGACTGACATCTAGTTAAGATTATAAATAATCTATGCTCAAATCCACGAATGTTGTTTTGTATACCATAAAATAAAAGAACCAGTTCAGACAGACAAAGGATATATGACCAAAGGTCAATAGTGACCATTGGTGGCCCAGAGTCCTAAATTCATCATGTGTCTAGGACGTATTTGCATCACTCCAAATCACTATGTTAGCACCATTCAGGTGGCTCATTCTCACATGATCCCACAAAAGAAATACCATACTAGCCAGAGGGAGCAACCTACTTGCCAGGTCATCCTCTTGGAACAAGCTCCTGGCCTTGGGGACTCAGAATGACCCCATAGGTGCAAGTCCCCCAGCACTCTTTCAAGTATTCTGGTTGACCTCACACATGAGGGTGGTACTCTAAAGAGGAGAAATAGGACCCAGACCCATGTAAGCCTCAGTTCTATTTCAGACAGATGTGAGAAACAATCACAGCACTGCCATTTAAAAGCAATTATGCCCAAGGTAGTTGTTCTGAGCTCTCAGCACCTCAGGTTATTTATATGTACATGTGTATGATAGTACCTACTTTTTACTGTTGCAAGGATTACACCAGATTAAGAGTTACTTTGTGGGGCTCAGTGAATGGCAGCTGCACTTAGTGGTGCTGTTGCTGGGCTCACTGCTCAGAGAGAACATATAAGTATTTTGACGGGTTCCTTCTGGAGGCAGTATTGTAACACAAAGTGCAATACCATCTGCACTAGTCAAGTGCATTGACTAGTGTGTGGATCTGTGGGATCTTATAGAACTCCTTAAATTTCATTTCTTTGGTAACAAAATTTATATACTTGGAGAGAGTGCAGTTCTTTGACATGAGCAAGCAGGATCATTGTCCCGGGCCTAGTCCTTCAGGGTTCCCCTACAATTTGGAATGTAATCTTCTACATACGAAGATCCTTGTGATGGGATTTGCTGGAGCTGCAGTGCTCTCTGGGAGTGATGCTCTGAGCTAGGAATTGGATCTTTGTGGGCTTGGGTTCCATTTTCCCTCTCTTTTTTTTTAAATTGATATTCTTAGTATATTAAAAACTCTTATAAATTAGTAAGAAAAGTAGTTTAAAATTGAGAATATGAAAAGACAAGAAAACATGAAAAACACTATATTAATATCAGAAAAAATGCATGTTAAAACAAAGACATGACATTTTTCACCTACTAAAATGGAAAAAATAAAAAATATATAATATCCAGTGCAGGCAAGGGTGTTGCCACTTTCATACACTGTTTGAAAGAGCAAACTGGCAGTATGTGTCAATACTGTCTACAGTATATACTTTGATCCAGTAATTACACTGTCAAGTGTCAGTCTCCTAAGGAAATAGTCATGGACATGAACAAAGATTGACAAAGATTTTCATCAATAGCAATTATAATTAAAAAAATGGAAATGATAAGGACCAATCATAGAGGGTTAGTAAAATAAATCACGGCTCATTTTTACAATGGAATGTTACAAATTCCTTAAATGTTTTTAAGGCTATTTAATGACATGGGAAAATAATACAATATGAAATGAAATTTAATACTATGTAAAACTGCACTGAATGCTTCTCTAAGTGACAACCTAATCTTAAATTAAACAATACAATTCAAACAATTCTTTCCCCTGCTCCCAGAATGCTCTTCTTTGCCCCAACCCATCTTTCCAGGGCTCCCAGTGTAGATGCTTCTCTGCCACTCTAATATATTCCTTGCTTTTCTTTTGTTGCTGAGCCTCCTCAGTACAAACACTTCTCTGCTTAACAATCCTTGACACAGAGAGAAGATATTTTCATACTATCTTGAACTTCTTAAAGGACAAAGTTTTCTCCAATATCCAGCACCTCCTTCTTGGCTGCTCCAACCAATTCTCTTAGGACATTCCCCGCCCCCTCCCCCCCAATCCTTACCTCCATCCTCCAAAGCACATGATGACCTCTTGAATATTTCTTGAACGAAGGATCTAAAAATATAAATCCAATCCAGATAAAGGAAATCAAATTACTGAGTTCAACTCTTGTTGGATTATAGGAGATTTTCATATTTTTCTCCACACTATCCTATTTCATCTACATTTCAAATGAATACCATGTATGATGTTATAAGGAGAGAACAAACAAAATTGTACTTTTTCCTTCATTTAATTGTCTCCTAGGTCTAGATAAGAAATACACATGCTTGACTTTGTATAATAAATAAAATTCAGTTCCGTA